ATGGATAAGTTCGAGGCTGGTTATCCACCTTCGGCGGCGATGGCGCGCTCCGTGCTCCGGGGGCTGGCCTCCTGCTGCGCCCTGGCCGTCGGCGGCACCGCCCTCGCGCTCGACGAGCAGGCCCTGATCCAGACCGTCTCGCGGCGGGCGCCGGCGGCGCCAGAGGACAAGCTGCCTCGGAGCGCTCTGCTGACGGTCTGCTTCGTCTCCAAGGCGCGGGCCGGGCGAGAGGGGGGGGGAGTCGGAAAGGAGGGGGGTTACGAAAGTTGCTGCAGGCAGCTGGTTTCGGCCCCACCGAGGGGCCCATTCCTCGAGGCATGGCCGCCTCCGGCGCCGGGAAGCGCCGGGAAAATCAGCTACGTGAGTTGATTCTCAACCCCCCCCTTTGCTATCCCCCCCTTCCGCCCGACCCGAGAGGCCTCTCCGGGCCGCCACAGCGTCGATCAGCTGACGAACGGCTGCGTCCTCAACGTCGCCTCTTTCAAGCTGGCGGCGCCGCAGTCGGACGTCATCCTGATTGCCCCCACGGAGGAGAACGCCGCCGACAAGATCAAGAACCTGTCCAAGAAGGACAGCTCCATCAAGATCTCCTACGTCGGCACGGGCCCGTGGGAGGTCGGCGGACAGAGCATCCCCTTCCAGAACGACGAGGGGAAGTTCTACGGGAACGGCCTGAAGCTGCTCTGGTACACCCAGACCCTCAAGAAGTTCCAGGGGCAGTACGACTACATCTTCATCGCCGACGGTGCCGATCTTTACTTCCAGCGGAACCCCTTCGAGCTGGCCGTGGAGTACCCGGGTGCGGACCTGGTGTTCTTCGGCGATCGCGGCGACAACCCGTCCAAGGGCAAGCAGTTCTTCGACCGGATGATGCCACGTTGCGAGAGCTCCAAGCGCAACGAACCGAGCTTGATGGACGATGTCGACGAGACGTTCATGCGCGAGGTGGACGGTAGGCAATTCAGCATCTACGCCAACAGCGGCCTGATCCTCGGCAAGGCCGACGCGATGCTGAGTCTCACCAGCCAGGTAGCCGAGATCGCGGCCGAGTGCAAGTTCTGGATCTCCGACCAGAGCTTCGTCAACCTGGTGCGCTACTACATGATTAAGGAGCGCGGCGAGGACAAGGTCCTGATGTTCCCAGACATGGAGAAGACCGCCTCCCTGGGGCACTACAGCTGGTACTACTGGACCGAGGACGGTTGGCTCGCCACCAAGGACGGAACGAAGGAGAGGCTGTACGTGGTCCATCAGTACGACCGCGCTCCGCAGGCTAAGCTGCTGACGGAGCTGGTCTGGAACAAGACGGCCGATTGGCTTCGCCAGCGCGAGTGAGCCGCTTTTCTGTTGCCTGCTGCAGCATGTTCGAAGAAGCGAGGCACGAGTTGAATAGCAATTCGTCTTCGGACCGATGCCGTTGCGAGGTTCCGTCGGCAGTGTTCTGCTGGATCGAAAACGTTGTTCAAGGCCGCGCACCGAGCAGAGCATGATCATCATCACAGTTCACTATTCACCATTCACCAGCATCATCATCAGCAGCATCATCGTCATCGTCATCATCATTATCATCATCATCTTCATCATCAGCATCATCACCATCACCATCACCATCACCATCACCATCACCATCACCATCATCATCAGCATCATCATCATCATCATCATCATCATCATCATCATCATCATCATCATCATCATCGCCATCATCATCACCACCATCACCACCATCATAATAATCGCCGTGATTATCATCCTCATTAACATCAACACCATCGTCGTCCTCATCCTCATCCTCATCCTCATTATCATCATCATCATCATCATCCTCATCATCGTCAGCAGCATTATTATCAACATCATCATCACCACCATGATCATCACCATCAACAGCAACATCATCGTTGTCCCCGTCTCCCCTTCTCCCCTTCCTCCTCCTCCTCCTACTCCTCCTCCTCATCCTCTTCCTCCTCTTCCTCCTCCTCCTCCTCCTCCTCCTCCTCCTCCTCCTCCTCCTCCTCCTCATGCGCTCAGCAGGCCGCGGAAGGCCTGGCGCCGTGACGAGCTAGCATCAGGGTCATGGGACGCGGTCGGCCAACTCCGCCTCCGTGTGGGCCATTCGGGGTCTCCTGGAGGCCTGCCAGCCCCCCCCCCGCCCAGAGACGGCCCCGGGGTGGAGGAGGTAGCGGGGTGGAGAGGGGGGGAGGGGGAGTATGAGGCGGTGGGAGGAGGAGGAGGAGGAGGAGGAGGAGGAGGAGAAAGAACTGTAGGAGAAGACGGGGTGGAGAGGGGGTAAGGGGGAGTATGAGGCGGTGGAAGGAGGAGGAGGAGGAGGAGGAGGAGGAGGAGGAGGAGGAGGGGGAGGAGGAGGAGGAGGAGGAGGAGAAAGAACTGCAGGAGAAGACGTCATGTCACAGGAGGGTCAAGGGCTTACGGTGGCTTCTTGGAGGTTCTGCTTGGCTCCAACAAAAGTTCCCCTTGGAAACTCGCAGCAAGAAGTATATGTGTGTACGCCCATCGGCAAGGTGAGTTGTCGCGCGCGCGTGCTGGGCGCTCGGCCGATAGATCCCAAGACGCCCGCATGGCCGCAAAATGGTTCCAGGAGGGCCTGAGGCCAAAGGCGATAACGTCCAGCCGACCCTGGGATGACGCCACCCCAGCACGATCCCACCATGGATTCTGGACCGTCCCAGGCCGACCCAAGGATACCAAACAATGGAGCCACGCGTGACGCCGAGATGGCCAGATGGCAACAAGATGGATCCACGCGCGCCCAGGGTGGCCCCAGAGTGGACGCGCGACGGCTGCGCGATCCAAGCATTACCGAGATGTGATCTCAAGATGACCTGACGACGACCCTGACACGCAAGAATGCTACTACGTCGGGGCCCAAACTTACTTCGAGCCGATCCTAGCATGGCGGGATCCGTGAATGACCTAGGGATATTTGTTTACCCTATTTTTACTAGGTGGGAGTTTAGCCTGGCTGAACTAACTTTCTAATATTAGAGGGGAGTAAATTCGGCGGGATCCCGCCCAGCCCACGGCAGAAGACGACATTGCTGGGCTTCTACGGGGGGGAGGGGGGCTCGGACGGGGCGTCCTACACCCCCGCTGTCTTCCGCAAGTCTTCCGACGGCCTTCCGCCGTCTTCCGCCTCGCGTTTTTTCCGTCGGATTCCGCGAGCGAGCGATGTGACGAACATTCAAGGAATTTTCATTGGGCCGATGTAGGGGGTGCTGGGGGGGACGAGCAAGGAGGGGTGAGGAGGAGGGAGGAGAGGGATAAAGTAAGGGGGAGGGGGGATTTACATGGCGAGGGCAAGGGGGTCGTAGGACGAGGGATGATGACGATGCTGATGATGCTGATGATGATGCTGATGCTGATGCTGATGCTGCTGATGAGGACGATGATGCGATCAGAACCCATGTGGGGGCGAGCAGAGCTTCCCATCCGACGACAGCCCGTAGGATCGGGCTACACCCGAGCAGAAGTTTGTGCGTGGCCAGGCAGCGTCGCGACTCACCGCAGAGAAACGCTCTGCTGCTGTCGCGGTGCACACCAAAAGGCGCAGAGCCGCACTCACTCATCACAGTGCCGCTCCACCTTGCTTGGGTGCTGGAAGGAACTCCACCCAACACCTGCCTCCCAGCACTCCGGATCACTACAGGGGAAGTGGGCTCCTCGGGACCGGCCACGGCCCTTCGGCCCCTCGACGCATGTGCGATCTTCGCGCCGCGCTCCCGATCCGCAAAAAGCCTTCGCTCGCAGGACGGCGCAACGTCAAGGAAACTCCGCCCACCGCCTGGCCTCCGACCACGGGCTGAAGCTCCTCACCGAGCTGCTTCGCAGTGGGGGGAGCGAGGGTCGGTGACGTCAAAACGCTGCTGAAACCCAGGAAGCGGGACGTCTGCTGGGGTACTTGGCTGAGGGTACTAGGGGAGGGTCGCTTCCTAGGCGATTCCTGGCGATTCCTCCTTGGCGATTGGTCTTGGGACGTCTGCTAGGGTACTAGGGGACAGGGTCGCTTCCTCCTCTGAGGGTCCTGGAGCGGGCAGGTGAGGCCGCCGTCACCTGGGCAACTTGGCTCGTGCTGCTGCGGGGTTGAGGGGTGCGAGAGAGGCGAGGCTCGGAGGACAGGGGCTCGAGGGAGCGACGAGTGGGGGGGCTCGAGGATCGGCTTGCTGGCGGCGAAGCTCGGGCTTCTCACAAGTTGCTCAGTTCTCCTACTCTTCTCCTCTGTGAAGTCTCCGGGGGCCTGCGAAGTCCGACATCCTGCTCTCGAGCTCGTGCAAGCTTACCTTCCCCTCATCAGCTCCAAGTGCCCCGTCAGGGCGGTGCCCTGCTTGAGGTCTGCGCCGAGCTGCACCTGGTGCTCGGGGATGGGCGCCATGTTGTGCCGCGTTGCGAAGCTCGATGACAATTTCACCTTGCTCTCCTCGTTGCGATCCGTGATCTGTGCCATCATGTCGAGCTCGGCCATCTCCTGCCTCGTCGTCGCGCTGTGCAGCTTGCAGAGCTCCTCTAGCTGTAGCGGGTTGTCTCTGCCCACTGCTATGCTTTCTGCCACACTGCCTTCGAGCACCCCCTCGTGGCCCGTCACCGATATCTCGCCCATCTTCCGGACCTTCTTGTCCGCAACGGCCGTCGAGAATGTTGTGCGGTGTCTTGCTGCTGGTTTCTCCCAAGCTTTGACTCAGGCCTGCTCCTTCATCGCCCCCTGGAGGTCTGCCGACATCGTGCTGTGCTTCAGCTCGCTCGACTCCAGGTGGCAATGCAGTGGCGCTATGTACAAGATGTGTTTCATCCTGACTGGGGGGTACTTCTGTATGGCCTTTATGTCATTCCGTCCGTGGCCGAGCTCGGTCGTACCCACTATCTTCGGGTCCTTCTTCGTCGCGGCGCCTGCGTCCGTGTCCGAACTGTAGTCCTCCCGTCGACCGCGTGGCATGCCGCCTCGCCGCTGCTCCTTCATGTTCGGTTCGCCGTGCTCGGCGGCTGCTGGCTGTGCCTGCAGCCACGGCATGAGGTGTCGGCTGGGGGAGCTGCATTTGCGCCAGGTGCCGTTGGAGGGCAGGGAGGTCGGCAAGTTCAATCACGCACCCGGGGTCTGGGCACACACACACATATCGCTGCGGGAAAACAACAGGGTAGTTGAGTGTAGACTCGTGTGCGATACATATTCCATGTCTGCATGCTGCGGCGATGTGATTGATGGCCGTGCGTCTGCACGCGAAGGTAGAGGAACATGTAGGGCATTGGTCCGTAACAGTGTGCGTAGTGAACATATGTAGTTGTCCATGCTCTCCTTATCTGCTGTGCATTTGGGATGCTCGTAGTGCGTGTACTTTGCGAAATCGTTCACCACACTCCAGTTAAGGAGCGAGCACAAGTACCCACCCTCGTAGCACTCGTGGTCCTGGTGTTGCCTGATCGGGGTCACCGTCGGGGCCTCTAACCAGAGCTTTCGGAGCCTCTGCATGTTGAACTTGAGGAACTTAGCGCACAGCTCGGGAACTTGGACCACCCTCAGCGAGTCGCAGCCTACGTCGTCCAGGAACTGGGGCCCCTCGTCGAGCCTCCCGAGGCAGAACAGGTCCTTCTTGAACTGTGGGGCCCAGGGGTTCGTGCGGTCCCTTCGGGTCGCCTCTGGGGTCAACATTGGGGCCCATTAGAATTGCTGGGGCTCCACGTTCTCGAACGCGATCCTCCCAAAGATGGCTGCCAGCTCTTGGACATGCTGCTGGGGTCGGCGAGCGAGAGCTTGGTAGTATCTAAGACGTCGTACCACGAGCTCAAAGCTGGGAGGGACCACCCAGACCTTCCTTCACACAGCTTCCGCACAGATCGTGGTGACCTTCCACCGCTCCTCATCCCCCTCCTCGTTCAGTTGGCGGTAGATCGCAGTCCCTTGGCACAGAGCATTGGCATACCGACCAGTTGCGAAACCTAGCTTCTTCTCCTGATCCAGTGTGAGCACGCGCGCCTCGAGTCCTGAGACGGCCGCTCCGATCACACTGCTCTGGAAGACGGTGCGCTTGCGATCAAAGAAGGGGCGTATACTCCAGAACTTTCCCATTCCCCGCCAGCCAGTCCCCATAGCTGAACATCGTGCACGAATCTCCTGCTCAGTCCCTCCCGAGGTTTGGGTGCGAGCTCCCAAGAATGCCGAAGTGGCCTGAACTTCACCTGTAATCGGTACCCGATGGTAATGTAGTGCCCTTGTGGATCTCCGCGAGCCTCTTCCGACGAAGCAGAGGCTCACAGCTTTTTTTTCATGACTATGAGCAAGTCCGACACGGCCGAGAGCCTCGTCCAAGTGTCGGTCGGAGGTCTCG